CCTAATCGTTTATATCATTAATTGGTTAGTCCCTTACTCTCAATATTCATTTTACAAAAAACAAAGAATTATGCTTTTGCCTGATAATTATCACATGTTTGTGTAAGTAAAACATATAAACAGGACCGAGTTGGCGGCGCAGAGCTAGTTCGCGACTCTTCTTTTTATTACCATTTGCTAAATCATAAAAACATCATAAACATGGACCACTTAAGTTTGCTAAACATTACCATCAAAGGAAGCAACCTCACCGACGAAAAAATTACTCAAGATTATGAAGAGACACAACAAGGTAAACAACATGTTTATTGAGATGATAGAGGAGCAATGGGGAAAAGAGTTTGAATACTGTTACTGATTTTGTGCTATATCGGAAGAGAGGCAGTTGGACGTTATTAGTTGGGGCAGAGCTGGATCATAGAGACATTATGAAGTTCATAGCAGTAATGGAAGAAGAATAGTTGGAATGCATTACAAACATGCATAGTTTGAATACTGTTATAACCTAACAATCTTTGTTAACCCTATAGCTGAACGGTGTCCTTCCATGACATATCTCGAAGAAGCTGAAGATGGCCGTAATGACCTGATGGTAATGGATCCTGAACGTCTCAAAATATTTGTTGATTATATGGAAAAGCGTCCAGTTGGCCTTGTACGCAGCCCTTCGTATTCAAGAAAGATCACACTCGGCATGCGACTACAAGAACATTACCTCACACAAAATTACAATACTGTGTATACTTAGCCTAGCGCCATTGGAAAGTAATCCAGATGGATACAAATATAAAGGATTTAATGAATTCTGGAAGTCAAAAACTGGTAGTTCTTGGATGAGTATTAGTAACAGCATATTGCCAGCTAGGATTATCGTCGATGAGGCACAGGTTGTCTATGGTAGCATTTATTTTTTGGAGGATACTGTGAATGAACTTTCATCAACTCAGCACAAACATGACATCTGGGTGCTCCTACTGAACACATATCAACCAAACTTACAACATTACATTCCCAGATACCCTTGGATTATCATCCCTTCATTTGACAGAAGATGAACTCGGACAGCCCGTAAATGTGTATATCTAAAAGCAACAAATGGGTCGGCCCTTCAATATTACCAAGTATGTTGAAAGGGTTATCTTTAAATTTGACCATGGATACGTTGGAATATATCGGATAACCTTGACAGACCTGTATCAGAAGTTTCCGAATGGATCACCAGAGAATATGCCGAAGTATCTTGCTTCAAAGATATTTCTGAGTCGTTTATTGGCTTCGCGTGCTCTTTATTAGGTATATACAGTAGCTGGCAGCCGATAAATCAATAAGCTAACCTTCTGCGTAGGTTGCTACTCAAATGTAAATCTGACTCGACTTTCGAATCTATTGACCATATTGGAAGACGATTCCTGTGAAAAAATGTATTTTGTTGCTCAGCCAAATTTACCTATAAAGACGTTTAATAAATTCTTGTTGTGGACGATTAAGCAAATGTCTCCATCTGTCTTGAAAGAATTCTTTGGATGAGGGTATGGTTCTTATTTGCTCGAGCGAACTTAGCAGATGGATTGGTATCGTACTGTGAAGAGTGTATACCAGAAAAAGCAACAATTAGCCCTGATGACAAATATATTTTTGGTGCGGATGGGTTCCTTGACTTCTATGTTGGTGGTAATTACAGTTGGAGAATTGAACTGATGCACAAGGGTAAAAGTTGGTGATTATGCGAAGCGATTTGATCATGAGGAATATGAAAAACATTACAATGAATGAATGTGTTGTTATTAATTTTCGTCATCACTCCAAATGTGCTTAAAATGTAAATGGCATGTACTCTATATGGATGATTACAAGCATGTTACGATCTTGCGTCAAAACAAAGAAGACTGATTGGGGATGATTTAGATGAGCTTTAAGACTTCAACCCAGAGTCTGATTAAGGAGAGCAAGCATTAGATGTGATCTTGTTTTAATAATAGTAAGAGCTGAAGGTCAATCACTTTGACAATAATTATGCTTAGACTTTCTAGATTCTAAAAAAAAAATTAACAAATGCTAATGAGAATAATATGCATTTCAAAACTTCCTAATAAACACATAATCTGGTATTGGCTTGTTGTATATCTCAAAG